GGGGGGGGGGGGGGGGTGGGGGTTGAAATGGGCAGAGTTTCCAGTAGGAGCTTTGTCATGGAAAGCAATCTTCTACCAAAACAAGTTGGTTTGTGGCTTAAAATATTCATCTCTCCTGTTTGCAGCAGCTTGCAGGCTGCTAGACCAGAGCCAACCAGTGATGGAAACAGGTTTGAGAAGAGCAGAGTATTGAACTTGTTCATTCATCAGTGCTGAGAGGGTGCAGGTCGAGTTCCATGCCAAGGGTTGGTCTTTGCTGTGTTCACAGGTTGGGTCTGTCCTGCCTTGTGCAGCCACATCTGAAGGAACAGCTAAAACCAAAACTTCCCACTTGCTTTTCTTCAGTCACTTTTTCGACATTTCTTCTTCTGACATGATTTTTTGCAAGAGGGAGCAGAGGAAAAAGTGGGATAGGGGAGAAGTACAGAACATATTGACTGCATCACATGAAAAATGCCATTTTTGTGTTAGCTGTTGCTGCCTCTGATGTTATTCACCCAAATTTATCAAATCACACTGTGCAAAAAATGTTGCTTTTACAAGTTTAAGTCCCAGGCTAATGTAAGACAAAAATCCTCTGCAAGAAGAGTGCAATACTGAGAGGAAGAAACCATAACTCCTGTTTGAAAGGTTACAAATTACCTGTATTTCTAAACTATTTAGGGCAGGCAGCTTTTCCCAGCTCTGTGTTTCAGGTGGTGCCATCAGCAAATAAACTGGACATAAACTGGACTCCATATTGCATGGACCTGTTGGAAGTTTCTGTAAGGCAGAATTAGCTGCAGATCCTCTTAGTTAGTATCATAAACAGAAGTCATTAACAAATTCCTAAACATCCCAGACTTCCAAATTTAGCTGTTATTTACCAACATAAGTTTATCTGAAGAAGAATGTGACTTGGGGCTTCACTGTCTTTTATTTTGCTGTTCCTGCTAGAGGGTTACTTTTAGTTTTGATACAGAGGAAACCTGCATGTTCACCTGCAGCTCCAAGAGGGTAATTCTGAAGATGAGATGTTTATTAAGTTGGTTGTTTGCAAGGAGTGACTCTGGCCCTCTACTGGGAGCACGTTTGCTTATTTATTTTTTCAGGCAGTTCTTCCCTTGCGAGCATTTTGCTGTTACCATATAAACTCATTTTTGGAAAAGCAGTCACCCTGTGTGCTCTTTGCTGCTTTTGCACTTTAAAATGGCTTCACAGAGCAGAGCTGCAGCTGAGTCTGCTCCGTATGTGTCTGCAGGTTTTGGCTGAGGAGGATCAAAGTGGCTTTAGCTCCTGAGCTGGGTGCAGCACCTGCAGAACCTCTGCCCTAGGGGCTGCACTCTGGGTCTTCTCTGCTTTGAGGCAAAAGCAAAATGCTCAGGAATCAAGTGTTGTGCCCCGTGCTGGCCTGGATTCCAAGGGCTTGAAATGAAAGGGATTTTTATTTTTCTGTTTTGCTAATTCAACTAGATTGATTGTATGAGCTTTCAGTAACTGTTGGACCAGTTACTGCAAACCCTGCCTTGTTCTGTCACCTCAGCCTTCTGCTCTGGGACTGAGAAAGTTGTTTTCAACTCTTCTGCTTAATTCTGCTCCTGGGCCCTTTTATGTCTATTTTTAACCCTTCTATAGAACAAGCTGATTTTTCAGCAAGCTAAAAATGCAACTGTTTAATGCCCTGTGTCCTACCTTGGGAAGTCTGGGGTTTATAAAATCATTGCAGGAGGCCTTTTACTTCTGAGCAGAATTCCCTGTTCATGTGAGTGGTTTAGTTTTGCAGTGACAGTTTGGGGGTCACACAATCCCAGACACACCACTCTTGGAAAGGACCTCTGAGATCACAGAGTCCAACCATCAATAGGAAAAAACAACCAAACTCAACCAACTCCACACACCCCACCAAAAAACACCCACAAAACCCCCCACAGGCTCAGCCACTAGACCATGCCCTGCTCAGTCCTGACTGAATTGCTAACTAGGACTCAGGCCTTCAAGTTATTAAATCCCATCAAGTAGCCTTGATTTCAAGGGAAAAAAGAAGAAAAAAGGACTCAGTGTCTTTCACAATTAGGGCCTTGTAGCTCAGGTAAGAAATTGCTTGCATGGGGCGAGTCCTTGCTTAAAAATCCTGGTGCTGTGGGGTCTCTCCTGCCCTTCTCCAAATTGGTCATTAGCTTTTCTTACTTGTTTTGTTATTGGTAAATATCAGCATGTAATTATTAATTTTATAACCCATGGTTGTGGCTTTTTGGTGATGTTCTGGATCAGATCCTGTCATCTTGGTATTTTTTGCCCTTGCTAGTGAAGACAGAAGAACGTGGCAGGTAATGGGAACTGCAGAGGAGAGTCTGTGCTCCCCAGGGGTGTGTGCTGCTCTGGGCAGGTTTGGGTGGTAGAGGGGCAGGGTTCCCTTCCCAGGTCCATCCAGGCAGCAGGACCAATGCAGAGGGTGGAGCAGCCAGGCCAGCTTGGGTTGATGTGACTGTGTTCTGGGAAAGAGAGGCTGCCAAGCAACAGAGTGTGAATCTAGGGATTCCAGCCCAAGTCTTGTGTTCCACCTCCTGTAATTCCAGTTTCAGCTGGACACTGGGTTTGTAACATCCTGTCCCAAACACCTGCAGGGCTCTTGTGCATTGTTAAAGCTTCAGTCTTGCTGCTCTGGCCAACCAAAGAACACCTGCAATCTCTGTACTGACCTGCCATGCTATTATAAGCTTTAATTAATATTTTCTTTGGTGACATTCCTGAGGAGCAGCAGAATTAAGGACTCCAGGAAGACCAAAGCAGAAAGGTTCAGAAATGCTGAAGTTGGCAAGTTTCCTTAATGACATCACTGCCTTGCAAGACTGCTCATGGAGCAAACCTGCCAGGTTCCTGTTCAGATAATGTAACCAGGGCTCAAAAGGAAACACCTCCAACTATGCAAAGTATTTCATGTTTGATGAAATGTTTGTTTCACCAGACAAGCTGATAGTTGCTCAAAAGCTACAAAAAAAACCCAACAACCCACCACTTTTTTCAAACTAACTCCCTTGGTCTGAAAACACCTGCATGAGGAAACTACACTGGGCTACAGGTGTCTGCAGAGCTGTGCTACTTCAGTACAGCCCCTGTCCTACACAGCAGCATGAGGATGTTGTCCAGTAATCCCCCCACCCCTACAAACATTAATTTGAACACTAATTTTTCAACAAAGACATTTTTTTTAATGGAAACATTTCAGAGACTTGGTTTATTTATGTTTATTTCAGCAAATGGGACTTTCTTCTGTAGTCTGAAGAACCAAATTACTAAAACCTGTTCCAACCTGAAAGGAGTTTGGTTGATCTAATTCTCTTTTTCTTCTCTCACAGGATTTGACAGGTGGAGCATTTGAAGCAAACCTGAACATGCTGAACTTGAAGGAAGGGACCGATTATTATCACTTCAACTAAGGAACAAGGTAAGGCAGTGATACTGAACCTGTGTTATCCCCTTAGTGTGTGTGTGGGAAAAGAAAGAGACTCTTAGCATGAGCCAGGTTCTGGTTTTGGACAGGAACAAAAGATTCCTGCAAGTTATAGCAGGTACCCTCACAGAGAAACTGGCTCATTTTTAGCTCCTCTGACTCAATTTTTCCTTCAAGTTTTCATAGAGGGGTGTGTGTGTAGAGACACACACTGTTCTGCTTGATGTGCTGGGATAGTGGGATTTAATTAGAACCATCAAATAACACACAGAGTAATTAGACTATCTGTTGCCTGTGCATTTTTCCTCCCCATCACATTAATCTTACTAAAGATTAATGTTATAGCCATTTTATAGTCAATAAGAACTTGAAGTTGCTTGAAGGACTGAGTCACCTCTGTATTCTTCAAGGGCAATGAAGCTTCAGTCCTTATAGGGTTTACCACAAAAACACTCACTTGAATTAGATGCATAAAGAGCTGTTAAGAGAGGCTTTGACTTTAGCTGAAGTGAAACCTGGATTGTTTGGTTGGAGTGAGACATAAGGAGGACAGCCTTTTTGCACAGGGATATTTATGCTCAGGAAGATTTAAGTATCACTAAATGCTGATTTGTTACCTCTGGAAAACAATTATTTTAAGAGACTAATGCAGCAGGTCAGGTCTAACACTGGATGTGTGTACAGCAAGCACAGGCTGAAGGGCTCCATTCAGTTGGAGAAGTAAGAGTCATTGACATAAAAAAACCCCTCCAAGTCAGTTGTGACAGAAGCATGAAGAGAAACTGCCATCTTGTGGCTACAGATAATGAGCTTAAAAACTGAAAACATTAATGAACCTTTGTTGCCTTCACAAGGCATATCTACACAATTCCTTAAGACACAACCTCTGCCTCTTCTTTTGCTCAGCACTGCCCTGACAGCTCGTGCTGGGGATCCAGTTTGTCAGGTTGCTGCAGCACAGGCTCCTTCACCCTGAGGGCACCTGAACCAGGAGGGAACCAGCAGCCAGTGCCTGCACCTTCACTGTGCTGAGCTCTGCAGGAGAGAGAGGAAGAACAGAGGTCACCTGGAGTAGCAGATATCACCACTTTATCAGTATCCCAGTCGTGTACCCAAGTAAACTAAATGGAGAAGAAAATACTGACCTACCAAGCTGTAATATTTACAGTTCTTCTTAATAATTTAATTTTTAACTACCCTTTAGCAACTTTTATTTGTACAAGTTTGAAGGGAATTATAAGTGCTGATATCATGTTATATTAACTTCATTCACCTTTTCATAATGTTCTGCTTTGGCTTCCTTGAGTGCTTCTCTTCTGCTCTCAGGGTATGTGAGCTCTTGAAGAAGAGCAGAGTGTGTGAGCAGAACCTGCCTGCTAGCAGGGACAGCTGAGAGTCCTTCAGGTCCAGGGAGTGTCACTCTCAGAGTGAACTCCAGCAGTTCTCAGGGCAGGGACTTTGCAAAAAGTTATACTGACTGTTTGCTTATGTTAAAAGAGGAGGAAAAGGTGCTGTTGTAAACCCAGGAATATTATTTCCAGACTGCACATCACACTGTTTTTAACAGTTGCATCTGATTTACCTGTGTGCATATTTGGCTACTTCTTATTTTATTTATACCAGACTTCTCAGGCTTCTCTCAGCCACCAGTAATTAAGAAGCAGAGATAAGTATTTTGAGATCAGTGGATTCATCTTGTAACATCTTAATCGTGAACATAACATTTCTATTAGTTGACTAGAAAACCTTGGAACAGCAACACTCAGGTCAACTGCTGCTCTAAAAACAATGGCTTTTATGGGCAAGAGGCTCAGAGTCTTGTTTCCCAAAATCACAAATGTTAGTCACAGGTTTCTTAAAATGGTACTCAAAGCAGAAAACTGTAGATCTGTCTCAGGAAGAGGAGAGAACTGGTATGGGGACAGCAGGGTGTCCTTGGAGGTTATTTGTATCAGTCTTCTGATCAGCTTTTTGAATGTACTTTGTAAAAATATATAGAGATTTTATATCAGCGCAAACTCAAAACATAGGATCTACTTAATCAGGAAGCATCTTGAGTGTAAAGCATTATCAGCACATCACACAGGAAGAGCTGGCTGACCTCAAACTCTTACTGTCCTATCACAGAGAGCCAGTCAACATGTACTTTAAAAACACCAGTAGCCAAGGTCTGGAGCAGAAGAGACTTGGTGACTTTCAGGCTCAGCTGGTGCAGCTGTGAAGAAGGCTCATGAAGTCTGACATGGAACTGTGCAGGGCAACAGAATAATGCCCTGAATAATGACAGTCATGAAAATAAACTTAATGGTGCTCAAGTACTTTAATGAGAAAATGAAGGGAATTGAGATCCAATCTCTAAGGAAAAACTTGGGAAAGAAGACTGCCATAGGTAGTGTTTCTGAATTCTGAAAATTATTACAGAGGATAAAAGTTTCTAACTGTGGAAGCAGAACAATAAAAATTACAAAGGCCAAGAATAAATTGATATAGCACTATTTATAAGCTGGGTGCCTGTGATACTAAAGAATTAGCCTTGGGTCATCAAGTGTTTTCACTTTGTCTGGTATTACTCAAAGTAGAAATAATTTTTCTTTGTTAATTGTCACATTGACACACGTTCTCTAAAGCAGCAACAATTCAGCTTCCCTATCTTTGCATAGAGAGGAAAGGAACCTGCTGAAACACTGAGCAGATGGGCAATTCCACATGATCTGCATTAAAATGAAATGGAACCTACACATGGGTATATTGTCTGCCTTATGAATGTAATAACTTTTAATTTATATTCTTCCTCTTAGTCAGTGTTAGAATTCTGTGGCTTGAACAGCCATGTTTTAATTCTGTTGTGGAAACTGACTGGAAGTTTTTATCCTTTTTCCTTGCCCAGAGAGGGCAGATGAACAGTTTTTTAAACATCTGTCCTGTATTACTTCATGCTTGTGTTTTGTCTGAGTAAGATGTCACACTACAAGTCTGGAATGTTGTCAAGAAAGGAGCATGGAAGGGCCTGAGACAACAGTCTTCAGCAGCTCCATATGCCTAGTGAGCTGGGAAGGAGCTTTCCTGCTGGTGAAATAGCCACGAACCACTGGAGAACTGCATCTTTTGCACTGAACTACAGCAGACTTGGTGGAACAACGGTTCATGACCACGTGTGGCTGAAACCCCCTTCAGGAGCACCTTCCAGACCTTACCTTGGACACCAGCTGAGGTTTGGGCACTTTCAGGAGATCACAGAGACTGTTGCGTTTCTCTCTCACTACTGGCAGTTCAGCTTCCCTGCACAAGGAGGTATTTTCCAGTTAATTCTAAAATTAAAACTTGAAGTTGGCTACATGCATAACAGCTTGCAGAGCTGGCTCTTTTGTTACCTTATTACCAGGTCTGCATCTCTACATGTACATTGCAAGTCCTAGAAGTTTTTGTTCTGTCACACTTCACGAACAATGTGCCATTTTTGTACCATCTTGAACTCAAACCAGGACAATCTGGCTTAAGATGGTACAAAAAGGTCACATTGTTCTTAAAGTTGACACAGATAAACCACAGAACTGCAGGTCATCCAGAAGTGACAGTTACCAGTAAAGTGTCCCAGAATATTCTAGGTTTTTGTATTCCAAAAAAAATAGCACCAACTCATCAGCCTTTTGACTAGAAGTTCACTCATTTAATTCTCTAAACTTACAGCTCCTTTTTGCTTCAGAAAAGGTCACATCAAGAATTTAAATAAATGTCACTGGATTTGGAGCACATTCTACTATCAAAAGAAGCCTGCTCCTGAAATAGGAAATCCAGACCTAAAACTTGTGAGTCTCTTAAAAAGTTTCTGAAATAGCAACGTGTCCATGAGATAATTTCCTCAAGAGTCAGTTCCAAAAAAGCTCCCAAATGCCCAAAATCCATACAGACAACATTCTTTTCCTTGTAAAAAGTTACAACTGTAAATGGGCTGTTAAAAATTTAACTCTTAGCACATAAATAGAGTCCAAAACTACAGAGAAAAAAAAAGGGCAAGTTAGAAATAACCTCAACTTCTTTCCATGTAGTTCTGGAAACCTCCTGTAGCTAAACTAAAGTTATGATTTAGATAGTAATTTGTTTCAACTCTGCATTACACAATTGTATGATAAACACTGTAAACAGGGAACAAATATGTGTGTGCCAGTAATTATCATCATCTTCCCCAGAAATTAATTCTAATTTGGCTTCCTGCTGTTAATGCTCATTGTATTTCAGAATTTACTGCACTCGTTTTAGCACTGAGAGCTGGGGAATAACAAGCAGCTCTCACTGACACTCAGCAATGACTTCAAATATCTTATTTTGTAAACAGTTAAAAATCTACCAAGATAAAACAATTAAGCTTTAAGTAAACTAACTCTTCATCTTTAATCTTAACACAACAGACATATTGCAATGGGGAACATTTAGAGCAAGCCCTGAAGACAGAATAAAACAGGCAGCCAGACACACCTTAAAAATGACACAATAAAAATAGAATATGCAGCTTCTAGGAAGTATTTTGCTTTGTTTTAGTAACCCATTTCTCAGTAAAGCTGTACAACCACTGCTGCCTCTGTAGCAATTTGAGTCTGTGAACATCCCCTGGTGACAGCACTCGTATAATCCTACTCAATTGTTTCTTTTAGCAAATTCTTTCTGTGACTTCTGAGCAAGCCTATTCTTCAGATCTCGTAAGCCAGCACTGAATCACACTAAACACAGCAATGAACATCAGTAAGTAGTAGAGCAAGTTACTGTCACAGCAGAATTGTTGATAATAAATTCTTCAAAGCTGAGCCCATCAGTCTGGTTTTGTATTGGAAAATTCAGAAAAATAGCAGCAGCCACCCCTTACAATGACAAACTTACTTTTCTTTTCCCAAATGTCACGTTATTTAAGCTCAAGCACAGAAATAAAATAGAAAATAAATAAAAGTTAATAATGTAAACGTGCAGCCTGAAAATATGTAAACCACAACTGTA